TATTACTACATGTACTGGTACAGACAAAGCAGTAGTGGGAAACTGGAGTTAGTGACATATTCTCTTAGTAAAGATTCTTGGAACATTGAAGCTCCTTTTAAAAAGTCACAGTACACCATGTCTCGGCCTTCCTTGCTTGAATCCACCCTGAAGATACACCTCGTTGGGGCTGGAGACACGGCTCTGTATTACTGTGCTTCCAGTATAGCACAGTGGTTCAGGAAGCCTGAGCAGCTAAACAACAACCTCAATGAAAAAAACACGACGAGTTGGGGAAGATGGATAAATAGGAATGATTATGTGTTTAACTCTGATGGTCCCTTAAAATGAATTTAAAGGAAATACCGATATGACATGAACAGATACAATCATTTTTATAAAAAACTAATAAATAACCTTTATAAATACACATAAAGTACAAGAACTGCCATTTCACAGTTCAGTCATGTCCCTGCATCACCACAACGCTGATCTGTTCAGATAAGTGAGCAGGTGTTGGTACAGTAAAGATATTTTACTATGTTCAGTATTATCCTCACAAACAGTTTGTTATCAACATCCATGTGCTTTAGTTTCTACTTCATTCATTTATTTATTTTGGCGTGTTCGGTTTGATCGGATCAAGTTCAGAAGATTATCACACACTGACCTCTACTGGGTTTATACGGGATAACAATTAATCCAAATAAAGTGTAATTTATACTAAATATTATAGCTACTGTACACATGCTCTCATAAAATGCTTATAGTTTGCACTATTAAGTCTGTTCTTAATGAAATTTTAGGTTTGAACATGAGAACAATTCTTGTGCTGCTAATTATTTACTCATCCTTAAATGTCAAACATGTAAATATACATCAGCTTTTACACACTGAACTGATGGGATGTTTGAATATATAATTAAGTTCTGGAATGTTCCAAAATACATCATAAAAGTTAGCAATAAATTAGAAATTTGAATAAGAATAATTGAAATGTAAGGTATCATAAGGTAAGTATAGCCCAGGCTAATTTGCAGTGGAGCAAATGTAACTAAATAAATATATTTAGACATAAATACCGTTTTAATTTGTACATAACTACGTTACTCAGTATGTGATTACTTTAGTTAGCTCAAACTTATGTTGTGTAAAATATATCAAATAAATATTTTTACATCAGTACCTACATACAATTTTATATTATTATGAAATGGCTCATTGTGTTCTTGACTATAACTATTATCTTACAATTCACTTCAGAATAATAACCTTTGCTCTTTTATTTCTATGATTCTATATCCACACAATCCAATATTATGTTATAATTTGTCAAAATGTCCTTTCAGTTATACAAACTATATCATT